GTGCATCGTTACATTTTCAAAACAAACAAAAAATTTAAAAAAAGAAATTTTTTTAAAAAACAAGAGTTTGCATTTTTGACGCGCGCGGAGGGTGTGTGGATGATTGCTTATTGAATGAATTATGTAGTTGAAATAAAAGAGAAAAACAAAAAAAACACTATTTTTATGCAAATTCATTTTAAATAGAATAAGTCATAAGTGTTAATTTATTTAAAAAATTAATTATTCTGATTGAAATTAAATTGATAAATTTAAAATAAAACAAAATTCATTTTGATAAATTAACTTGATGAGTCCTAAATAGGACAAAACGCGTGTCAAACTAGATTCCACTACTAGCCACTATCCATCTTTGATTATAAAATAAGTTGAGGATAGTTTAGATGAAGAGTTATTGTCATCAGGAGAGCCTACTTACTTACCTACTTACTTACTTACTTACTTACTTACTTACTTACTTACTTACTTACTTACTTACTTACTTACTTACTTACTTACTTACTTACTTACTTACTTACTTACTTACTTACTTACTTACTTACTTACTTACTTACTTACTTACTTACGCCTATCACCCCTCATCGAGGAGCATAGGCCAGTCATCAACATTCTCCATCCAAATCTGTCCTGAGTAATCCTTTAAAATTGTTTCCAGTTGCTCATCCTTTTTTTCGTGTTTGATTCTAATTCTTTTGCTGAATGTATACTTAGGCCTCCCTCTTTTTTGTTTCCTTTTAGGATATCGTTTGGTGATTATCGTAATGTATGTCCTGTTCACCAACTCCATAGTGTCTTCCTCACCTGTAAGCTGGATTGTTACCTCCCACAGTAGGCTGTTGCTGATGGTATACGACCAACAAAAGACATTCGGTATCTTCAGTAGACAATTGTTTATAAATACTTGTATCTTTTTGATGATGGTTGTCATAGTTCTCCAAGTTTCAGTTTCGTATAGTAGAACTGAGTGTTTTGACGTTCATATTGAAGATTTTGACATTGATATTGGTTGACAGACAGTAATTTTTCGTTGTATACATTCTTCAATTGTAGGAATGAGATCCTTGCTTTGCCAATCCTCTACTTTATATCTGCATCCGATAACGCAGCTGTCCAGATACGTAAAACTTTCCATCTCTTTCAGATTTTCTCCACCAAAAGTGATAGTGGAAGAGCCACTGGATCATTATTTAATCTTTGTTTCAAACTCCTCAATAGCGTACACTATTCCAACCTTATATGTGATCGAACCTAGGACACATGGATATCTTAGAGACCATAATACCACTCACACATTGGTTCTAAATTTAAATGGTCCTGAACCAACTGAAGTTAAACGTTTGTATAAATATCTTGCATTTTAACAATTTCGAAATATTGTGAAATATTAGCATATTTTTAAATTTCGTTTAACGTTGATGGTGCATATTTCTGAAGAGTGGAAAGTTAGAATACTTCCTAGTTTCTAATGGTTTACTTTGATTGGTAATAATCTGTGAATCAAGCTATCTTCAAATGATCCTTTCATTTGAATTTAAAATAATTATTCTCGTCATGAATTAAAAACGTTTTTCATATAGTCAGAATGGGTTTTGTGATTTTAGAAATTTCAATAGTTGAAATCATGAGTCAATTGAAACTAGACCACCATGGAAAACATGGAAGCACTGGACGGCCATTTCGTCCTATTGTAGGACTCCTCAGCAGTGCACATCCCTGATCCCACTCCCCGCGAGATTCGAACCCAGGACCTATCAGTCTCAACCATTAGACCACTCAGTCGGGATCTAGCGGTGTTAAAGTCTAACTTCAACCAATCCACAAAATTGCTCTACCATACACCATTGTCTTCATATAGATTTCACTATTTCCTACTACTACTAATAGTGTTATTCACAGTTATTCATCAACAGAATACATTCTCATTAGCATTGTAAATGAGAACAAAATTGTGTGTAAAGGCACACATATATAGAAGAGATAGATTGTGGTTGGGATTGGAATCCTAACTGCTCGTTTATTTTTATTTTTGGACTCATCGACTCAGAATATCAATAATGGGATCATTTAAACACTTATTAAAAATCACGTTGACGATACACAAACAAGTTACTAGATATCTAGAATTCATAGCTAAATAGATAATGTGTTACTTTCTGTCATGAAATTTAGGTCATTTGATCACTGGTGTGAGCATTAACACTGGGATCCAAACCATGCAGCTGGTGAGTCCTGAGAAGGACGAAACGCCCGTTCGCGATTCCTATACTAGCCACAAACCATTTACTTCATTTAAATGACTTTGCATTTGTGCAACAAAGTAGTCCAAATCATAAGCCTTTCATCATATGTATAAATATCGTCAACACAAAATTGCAAATCAGCTAATTCAGAAAAAGCAACATCTAAAATATTTCTTATGACCCATAGATTTTTTTCAACATGTAGATAATTTTAGCAGTTAAGATCATGAGTTTATTGCAGATAGACCATCATGAAAAACCTGGAAGTACTTAACAACCTTTTCGTCCTATTGTGGGACTCCTCAGCAGTGCACGTCCACGATTCCACCTCGCGAGATTTAAACCTAATACCTATCAGTCTCGCGCGCGAGCACTTAACCGTTAGACCACTGAACCGGCATCCGACGGTGATTCCAACTATTAAAATTATTATAATATCCACAAAACCTCTTCTGATTTAGAAAATTAATGAAAAAAAAACAGTTGAAGAGGTAGTCACTCGAAGTTCTGTTGAAAATCGGGTTAATAATACCATTTGAATAATCATAAAATAACAAGTTTCTAACTATACGATCAGTCAGTCAGTCAGTAACAACGTAGAACTTCATACGTACGTACATCAGTTCGAGTCGCCATACCACATTAGCACAGAAATGCAGTTGTCGATTCAAATCCCGTAGTGGTAGAGGTAGTAAGAGTATAAGCAGTGATCGGAAAGATTAGCGTTTGAAAAGGCTATTCAAGGAGTATAATACAGTGAAATAAATTTAGAAAGAGAAAGAAAGAGACAAGGAGTATTCAGAAGATCAGAATTTGGGAGGACACAACGAGTGGATGCACTTGCTCCATCGCAAACAATTTTGAGCCATGTCATTCATGGTCTCTAACTATCGGCTGCTATCGTCTCGCGGATCCCAACCAGGTAGTCTACATCTGCCAACATGACTCAACCCGCTTGTCAGTGGCTTCATGGATTTGTGCCATGTTTTGGTCTGGCCGCCCCTAGCTTTCTTCCAACTTACTCCTACACCATAAAACATTGCACGTCGTGGCAGTCGGTGGTTGGACATACGTAACACATATCCCAGCCATCTCAACTGGTGAAGTTTCACTACTTCATCCACTGATTTGCCATCCTTAACTAGTACCCATTTCCTAACAACTGCGTTACTTACTCGGTGGTCCTAGGATGTACGAGCAATGCTTCGAAGACACCTATGATCGAATACTAGTAACCTACGAATGTCCTCTACTCTTACCGGCCATGTTTCATATCCATAGAGTAGGATGAAACGAACTGGTGCTCAGTAAACTCGTCCTTTGGTTGATAGACGGATATCTGATCTACTCCATAAATGACGTAAGTTGGCAAAAGCTAGTCCAGCCTCCTGTATCCATGCTGAGATTTCGTCACACACCAGACCACAAGAGCTGATGAGACTTCCAAGATAAGTGAAGTGGTCGACACGCTGAACTACTTCACTCCCTATCACTAGTTCGGGTGTCGATGCAACCCAGTCCTGAAGCAACATTTTGCATTTCGAGGGAGAGAATCGCATGCCGAACATGCCTGCATTGTTGCTTACGGTGGTCAAAAGACTCTGCATTTTGTCAGTGTCTTCACCAAATAGATCTATGTCATCGGCATATTCTAAGTCAACAAGTGAATTTCCCGGTAGAAGTTCAACCACCTGGAAATTTAAATGAGGAAAGTGTTATTTTTAAAAGCACGTCAACGACAAAGTTAAACACGAATAGAGAGAGTGGACAGCCCTGACGAACACCACTATACGATAGTGACTGATATACCAATACTCGCCTAAGTTAGAATACGTATTCGAACAGAGGATTCTAGTGGTATAAACAATACTCAAATGATCTTTCAATATTCATAAAACATAGTTAATACAGTGTGATTAAGCCATATGATGTATCTTAAAATCTTAATCGACTTGTAGCACATTTTATATTTCATTGTCATATCCGTATTAATTTCAATGATTCATTAATGTTGCAATAATACATTATGTATCAGAGTATGTAACGTAGATCCTGTTAACTCAAGGTAATCTAAAAATAATTATCTGACTGAGATATACGATAACTTTGGATTATATATTATGTTGCCTACCATCTAACAACTAAGTCATTGTCAGATGCTATTCAAACATTAGATTCAATTCAATCCAATTAAATATGGAGTATAGATTAATACATCCTTTGAATATGTCAGTAATCACAGCTTTAGATCAACATAACAATAACAAATAGTTTGATCATCTGGTGAGACTATAATTTATCGACGACCTTCGAGCGATGCTAAACTAACCTTGAGAGTGTCTACCTACTTACTAAGGCTAATTAAGGGTTATAAAGCAGTGTGAAGAATAAGGATTATAATTCACAATTAATGGTTAAGGTTAGGAATTAGATTTAGTGTTTTCATCACAAACTAATATCAGGTATAATGCCAAAAACTCTATTTATCCAAATGGATGAATGAATTTCGCGTCAAAATCCAAGACCTATTATTCTAAATCCGATTGGTTCGTCTACAATAGAATATACATAGTTCCTATTAATAAGCACATTTACCCTCTAATATAAAGTATCACAACAATTTATTATGTAACTATAGAGATAGAACTAGTAAACATAAACATTTATATATTTTTTTTGATAATTTTTTTTCATTTTCATTTCTGTTTTTCTTTCTCTCTTTTAATGTATATTGCTTTGGTTCTTCCCTTTGATAATGACTTATTTAAATATTATTGAATCATCATTATCTAATGAATTTAAATGAGATCCTTTCCATAAATGATATTTTATTCCATAATGATCCTTTTCATCATTATTATCATTATCATTATTTATATCGATATTGATCTCATTATTATCAATATGATCATTGTCATGTTGATTATGTAATTCTTTCCATGTTTGTAAATCATTATAAAGATTTGGATATTGATCAATAATATGTAATGGGATAACATTTTTATCAAGTTGTAGATAATCATAATTATTGTTATCATGTGAACGATCATAATGACGAAGATGATGTTCATGATCTTTTTTTTCTTTTTCTTCTGATTCCCTTTGTTGTTTTATTAATTGTCTTAAAATTAATAAACGTATCTTTTCTAAAGTTAATTTTTTTTTAATATTTCGTCCAGAATCATTTAGTATTATAATTTTGTCGTCGTCATCACCATCACCATCACCATAAAGAGGGTAATCATATAAGTGTTGAACATGTAATTTATTATGTGAATCAGGTACAGGGAAAAGATTTCTCTTTTTCTTCATATTATAATAAAGCTGATGCTCCTGCTGCTGCTGATGATGATGTTCACGATGTTCTTGGTTACGTTTTTCTCTATTATCATTATAATCAGTAATGATTTGACCGCCTACTTCTTCATCAAGTAAATAGTCTTGATTTATTTTCGGCACTTTTATAAGTGCTCTCTTCTCATGAATGTTATCATCATTTGAAAAATTATCAATGATATTATTATTATTATTATTATTCCATGATTGTTTTAATGAGTTCAACATTTCTCCAACAACTTGAGCACGATATTTAGCTTCATCAGCTGCTTTATTTAATAAATCAGCTTGTTGAATTGATTCACTAGCAGCATTCTCTAAATGTTTTGCTTTATTCACTTCTGAATCAACTTGGAAAGCTAATGCTAATTGTAAACGTAATATTTCTTCTTCTTCTGGTATTGATGAAATAGATGATGATGATGATGACGATGATGACGACGACGGCTCAACCGATGTTGGAATGTAAGGTAATATATCATGTACTAATAAATCATCATTATTTATATTGTCAAATTTAAAATGATCAATTGAATTCACATTATTTCTTGAATGTAACGGTGAATTAGATGTATGCTTTATAATATTGATTAAAATAATTACTAAGGTATAAATACTGTATAAATTCAAGAACATATATTATGTAATATGAAATAGATATGAATATTCTTGTCTTTATAAATGATATAGAAATTAAGCATGTACAATTTACAAGTATGCTATTGAATTCATATATTTACTATAGTTTTAACAGTAGACTACTGTTTATTCCCTTTCTGTACTCATGCTTTTGGCATTATCAACTTAACTACAAAATTTAATATAAGTACGCGAATATTTTTTTCTTTTTGTACCATAGATACTAAACTTGATAACAAACAATAATATGATTGGTTATTGGTAATATTGGGATAATCATTCATATACTCAATATGTATGCCTTATTCATTTAGATAGGCAGACATAAAATTAGAGAAGGTCGATACTAATATTTATGAAATGATAAATGAAATATTTATGAAGTTGATCGATATTATTAGATACATTAGAGTGTTAAATAACCAATTAAAAGTGTTAGACCTACCTTTCCGATCCAGGGTGAAGAATAATATTAAGATGTAGGGGAATGTGAGCAACAGTAGAAGGAAAAACAAAACACATTCATACATACACAAATGCTTCATTTTAAAGAGAAAAAAAAAACGAACATGTCTGAGAGTGATTGTGGTTTAATGATGCTTGTATGTGAATAGAGTAAATAGTACAATGATTATAATTTGACACAAAACAGATCCTGACTATCGTTAAAGTTGAATAGTCGAATTCATTATTGGTACTGAATTGATTCAATTTTTTCAAAAAGAAAAGTTTTTTGACACCAGATGGGTTACTGATAAAGCATAACCATATTATACTACTCATTACTTAATGTTTGAATAATGAATTGATCTCGTTTGTATCCTAAATTGTGCACATTATCTTTTAACTAATGTTTAGATTATAAGCAAAGATGGATAGTGGCTAGTAGTGGAATTCAGGACGTGCGTTCCATCTTGTTTGGGACTCGTCATTTGGATGTACCTGCACCTCAGAGTTGATATTCACTCCGAGACTACGAACCCAGTATCGTTCGCTTTAAATACTATCCCGTTATCCACATACCTATTGAATCCTGATGGTCACCTGCTTGTGCAATGGAGTGAAGGTACATGAAGTTGACGAGTCCCAAATACGACGGAACGCACATCCTGAATCCTACTGCTAGCCATTATTCATGCTTACTTATAATGTTTATGACTTAAGGAGATATCGAAGCAATCCTCATATGATATACATATGCCAATAAGAGAAGATACAAGCAAATAATACCAAATGAGAAGTTTTGTTGTCTAGGTATTTTTTTCTTTTGATAACATGATCAATATTGATTGTTTGTTCGTTAAACAGTTGAACTAATGAACTCTAAATTGAAAGAAAAACGATCTAACAATTTAGAATGACTGCAAATATAGACAAAAACAAATAAACAAAATCAGCCATTTAAAAAATTGATAAACGTTATGAAACTCTGGTTATGAGTTTTACCAGTAAGGGGTTTTGTGGAGATTTTACAAATTTCAATAGTTGAGATCATGAGTCGATTGAAGCTAGACCACCAGTGGTCTAATGGTTAAGCACTCGCGCACGAGACTGATGGATCCTGGATTCGAATCTCGGGGGGGGGGCGGGATCGTGGATGCGGATTTCTGAGGAGTCTCATACTAGGACGAAACGGCCGTCCAATGCTTCCAGGTTTTCTATGGTGGTCTAGCTTCAATTGACTCATAATTTTAACTATGAGCTTTACTCATGTTTTGAGTCATTTATCAATTATAACCATCGTGTGATACTTCTTTCATTAAAAACAGATGATTTAGTTATGATATATATGATATCGATGTATAGAAGTACTTTTATGGCTTTGATCATTTTGTATACGAATATAAGAGCGAATGTAATCAACACCAACTATTTGGCGATCGATAACCTACCAAGCCGAAAGATGCCGTTACATTTGTATAACCAAAGTGAAAAATAAATAAAAATTATAGTCACGATAGAACTTGAGATTAGAATGGAGAACTGTGGAGAATGTAATAATTTTAACAGTTGAATTCATGAGTCAATCTAAGTTAGATCACCATGGGAAGCCTGAAAGCACTGAGCTGTTGAATCGTCCTAGTATGAGACTCCTTAACAGTGCGCTGGTCCATTGGTCTAGAAGTTAAGCATTTGCGCGTGAGACCGAAGGTCCTAGGTTTCTGCAGCATCATGGATGTGCAATGATGTAAAGTTTTGTATTAAAACGAAACGGTCGTCTAGTGCTTTAGGTTTTTAATGGTGGTCTAACTTAGATCGACTCGTGAATTCAACTGTTAAAAAAACTTGAAATGCTGTTGTACTGAAAGTGGAAATTTTAAAATGGGTTTCTAAAGTCTCTACATTTCAATATAAAGAATCTATGTTGATTATGGACGAATGGATGCATATGGTTTTAGACTTATTACTGTGTATAGTTTTCTTTAAGATAATATAAACGAGAAATCAACCACAGGTTTCTATACGTAAATTTATACCCAAAGACTAACTTTAAGATTATTCATACAAGCTGAGCGATCAAACTTATAATATAATGGCTGTAAGTCCAGTAATTTAACTTATAAGTAACCCAATCATCTTTCAATTAATAAGTTCAATTATGGTAGTATGTATTTTGTTTGCTCTTCAGAAAGCAAACATAATTTGTTGAAAAATACAAAAAAAATTCTTAAGCAAAGATGGATAGTGGCTGGCAGTGGGATCCAGGACGTGCGTTTCGTCCTATTTAGGAGTCGTTAGATGGACGTACCTGCATCTCAGAGTTGATGTCCACTCTGGGACTAGAAACCAGTATCATTCGCTTCAAACGCCATCGCGTTATCCGCCTAACTACTAAGTCGTGTTAGCTGCCTGCTTGCGCAATAGGGTGAAGTTTAAATTCACTTGGTGCTGTTTTACTTATATCTTCCCATTGTTATTTAGGACTTCAATTGATCAGTCTCTTATTGGCATATGTACATATTGTGCGCATTGCCTCGATATTGCCTTTTGAATTTCATCTTGCAAGTCATTAGTTTTTTATTATCTACTTAAAAATAGTTAGATAACTGTATCATAGAGTATGAAAATATACACCACTACCACCACCACCACGCTTAATGTAACTAAGGTGAAAACTACTGAACTGCTTTGTCCTCGACAAACAATCTTTTCATGGCATAACAATTAGCGCTTTTACAGCTTTCTTTTTTCTACGGTACCACGTTATAAAGAAAACAAATGTGAACGAAATTGTATTCTGTGAAATATAGATAGCTTTGATTAACGTTATGCGCATGTGTCGTGCGTGCTACTGATATCGACAGATATAAGTAGTACATATCACCAATCGAAAGTAAAATGCCTAGTGGCAGAAGGTTAAGAAGATAGAAGAAAAGGGAACCAGAACAAAGAATGATTGGTATGAAAACGAAGGAACAGTCAAGTCTCAGACATTTGATGGATATTTTACAAGTGAAGTATTCACTGAACGGTTCTCAGTTTTTACTAAGATATCCTGTAATTTTGTATTTAAATACATTCAATTGTTCCCACTTGTGAGTAACATTAGAAGTATCATGCTCATTCGTTAATTTTCCTTTACCTCTATCGCCTGGAGAAATACTAGGCGATTACAATCACATTTATACATCAGATATATCAGAAAATGCAAAGAGATTTAATAGTAGCAAGATTAGTGGTAAACATTTTAGGGATAAATAGGGATGGCAGATAATCATTGTTTATAAACTTTCAAAGACAACACTGTATTTGTGTTGAGAATTCTTCGCTAAAGCTGAACATTTAGTACGTACAAAAAGAGAGTATTATCATTAACCAATACAGTTCAAAATGAATGTCAGAATTTATTTTTATTTATTTGAACACATAAATATTGGTATAAATAGGCACCAAATACATATGCGACACATAAGTCACTTGATTTGTGAAAGGGCTATGATACTGCTCAGGAGTCAAAACTGAAGCAAATAGTTTTCTTAAGGGGACCACACCTGGAGCCTTTGACCTAAAGGTCTGATCCATAAGGCAGTGGAGAAACGTAAGGGGATACAGTCCAATGGTAGTCAGTGACCAATAATTGGTTCATGTGTCATTCGCTTCATTAGGATCCTACTGCCCATTTGCACCATTGGTTTTGAATTAGGGTTTTCAACCTCCCCTTGGTGGATCCGCCATATCCACCGACCCAATTAAAGCGCTGGACATTCACATTTCTTCCTCTGAATTCCGTGATCAACTCCTTTGCTGCGAGAAGGCAGTGAATAGGACTTCCCTAACAGTGGTTGTATAGGCGTGGCCACGTGAAAGAATTTAGAGAAGGAAAGCTGACTCTCCCACCCTCTGCTTTATCAGGGCATTTAGATTCCAAAAATCATTTGGGACTTGGACACCAATCTTTTTGGATTTGTGAAAGAATATTCAAAGATTTATTTGTAACAGGTAGTTTTAGGTCAGTCCTTGAAACATACTCCTTCATTAATATCGATTACGTGAAAGATTACTAATATCTAAAATAAAATTTATCAAATGTGCCCAGTTGTTGTAAATCCTAAACGTTTGAACTCTCAACCAGTTGACAGAAATATTTTTAACATTTTTATTGTCATAAGATACCGGTGAATTTCACTTGATCCATACGTAATATCTTTTATCTGTTCTGGAAATTTCAGAATTATAAAAGGTTATTTCGGTTCCTTTGTAGTTTAAAAAATAATTATATGTTACTGTTATATCCTGGTGAAGATTGAGTTACTGGTAACTTCTGAGAACTATTAATGGACTAATATTCTATATAGATATTCCTATTGTATTACTGTTTAGTAAATAGGTTATGTATATCTATATTCCTCTTTTTATAAGCTTCATTTTGACCTATAAACTGTTATTATACGATTTACCATTCTCAAATCATATTCACTATATTGATTACAGTCTCCCACATTCACAGCCACTTTTTGGCTTGATCTTATATGAATGTTATTTCCTATTTTGTGATG